GCCCAGCTCCAAGTTGAGCTGTTGTTCAGCATCTTAGCTGTAGAGGGCAGTGTCACTGGCCCTCATATGTGGGATCCAAACCGGGGCCCTCTGGCATCTCAAGCTAGCTCAATCAACGCGCCACTCTGCCGGCCCCCTCTTTAATTCTTAAACTTTGGTCTCAGGACCTCTTTACATTCTGCAAAATTCGAGGATCCCAAAGAACTTTAGTTTACATGAGTTTTATCTATTAATATTTACTATATTAGAAATTGAGAATGGTAAAATGTTTAAATATTTATTTATTTTAAAATAACAATATGCCTATGACAATTTGACATAAATACCATAGTTTTATGAAAACTGTATTTTGTAAAACAAAAAGTTATGAAAAAATGGCCAAAATCAGCGAGGATGACCACATTTCTCAGGTTTTTAAAACCTGTGTTTTTTTCAGTATACTGAATATCTTTCTTAAACTATACATAATCTCCTTTAAAATTCCCCCATCTTGAGAAAAACTGAAGCAGAAGAATAAACTGCACAGGGATGCAGTCACACCCAGCAAGAGCTATCAAAATGGTCTTAAGGAGGCATTTTCGTAGCAGATATAAACAGAGAAACATCAACATTATGATTTTGCATTTTGCATACCTTGGCTATCTTGCAAAACTTGGGATGTGAATATTAGGATCAATTTAGAAAGCAGAATTTGTAAATATACTTAGTTTAATAAGCAGAAGTTTTCTCTCCCAGTAGTATTAGGGTCATATAGTTTTATGAGAAGATCAAGTTTATCTGTGCCATTAAACACAAATATAGCAGTTTTATTCATAATTGCAAAATGTTGGAAGCAATCAAGTTGTCAAAAAGAAACAAAAGTAATGAAAAGATTGGCACTGTTTTATAATTCTTTGAATCTCTTTAATATTGGACTTGATAAAAGACAACTGGATTCTCATGTCTCCATCTGCATTTAACCTGTTGTGATATCACATCTAGCATCTAGAAAATTCCACCTGTGAGAGAATCAGAGTGAAAAAGGCAAATTGTCTTAGTATTATTTCGAAAATAGTTTTGACCTCATGTACCCACTGAAAGGTAGGGACCCCAAAGGGTCCTTGGATCACACTTTGAGAACACTTGTTCTGTGGTGTGAAAAGGGATCTATATATGAAAAAGCAAATGACAAAATAGGCAGCATATTTCAAGTGACAAAGAAAAGGGATTTCAGAGTAGGGAGCTGTAATAGTACCAGGAAAGGCTTAAGAAAGGAGGAAAAAGCTTTGGGAAGTAAGTAGGATTTGAGCTCAACCTTGAAGGAATTACAGGGCTAACATGTAGAGATCTTAGAGAGAGATTTCCAAAAAAGTAATTGAATAAAGGTACCAGCAGAAATTGCAGTGGATGCAAGAGGCAGCAAGAAAACCAATCAGTTGAAGAAGAGGATTCATGTAACAGTAACCATAGAAAACTGAAGTCGCTATGTTAATATCTGATAAAGTAGACTTTGGGAAAAATGAGCATTACCAGAGGTAAAGGGGAACATTTGTTGATGTATAAAAAAAGTTCTATTTATCAGAAAGCTATAGTTCTAAATGTGTATTCATAGAATAACAAAGTTTCCAAATATATGAAGTAAAAACTGGCAAATGAAATGAAAAAGGAAACAGATACACAAACACATTTGGAGTTCTCAACACCCTTCTCTTGGTAATTGATAGAACAAGTAGTCACAAAATCAGTAAGGAAAACATGAATAACACAATTGTGTGTATCTAATTGCCATTTATTGAACTCTGCACCCAAAATGGAAGAACACACGTTCTTTTCAAGTACATCTAGAATATTCTTTAATATAAATCATATTCTACACCATAAAATAAGTATTAATACATTTTAAAAGTTTGAAACAATACTGAGTATGCTATCTTATCTATTGTCTAACCATAATATAATTCCATTAAAACTCAATGATGGGCTGGCTGAGTGGTTCATTGGTTAAGAGATGGCTTGGGAGCGCGACCTCTGAAAAGCAGGGCTGCCGGTTTGGATCCCACATGGGCCAATGATGCTGCACCCTCTGCAGCTAAGATGGTGAACAACAGCTCGATCTGGAGCTGGGCTGCCGTGAGTCGCCGGCAGTGGCATAGGCTGCAGTGGGGCTGCAGTGGGTTGCCATGAGCTACCGTGAGTGGCTGGCAGCCATCGGTGAGTGGGGCAGCTGGCGTGTGCTGCCATGAGCCGCTGTGAGCAGCTGTCTAATGGCCGGCAACCAACTGCCTCAGACGGGAAGAGCGCAATGATAATACCAATATGGGCCAGTGAAGCGACGTCCTACACAACTAGACTGAAGAACAAAAGGAAAGCAACTTGTCTGTTTCCCTTACCCCAATTCCCCAGTGCTGTTCCCCTCCCGCAATTTCCCCAAAAAAATCTTTAAAAAAAAAGTCAATGATAAAATATTATCTGGGAAAAATCTTCAAATATTTTGAAATTAAGCAAATATGTCTCTTACTAATCCATGGGTCAAAGAGGAAATCAAATCAGGAATATTTTGAAGAGAATGATAATTAAAACCACATATCAAAATTCATGGAATGTAGTTACAGCAGTCTTTAGAGAGAAATTTATACCTCTAAGTATTTATATTTAAAAAGAAAGATTTAAAATCAAATGATCTAAACTTCTATATTAAGTTAGGGAAAATAGCAAATTAAACCTAAGTAAGCAAAAGGAAGGACATTATAAATGTAAGAATGGAAATCAGTGAAATAGAATACGGACAAAAATTTGAGAAAATCAGTGAAATATGTTGTTCTTTGAAAGATTAACAAAATTGATAACCTTTAGCTAAACTAATTAGAAAAGAAGAAAAAACTTAAATTACTAATATTAGGAATGAAAGAGAGGATATCACTACAGACCTCACTGAAAAATATAATAACCAAAATAAAAAACTCACTGGTGGGCTCAATAGTAGAATGGAGATAAGAGAGGAAAGAGTCTGTGAACTTGAAGATACAGCAATATAAATCATTTGGTGTGAGCAATAGAGAAGAAAAGATTAAAACAAAATAGGCAGAGTCTCGGGACAATATCAAGAGATCTAACATTTGTATAATTGGAGTTCCAGAAGAAGAGGAGAAAGAGTGCAGTACAGAAAAAGTGTTTGAAGAAATAATAGCTAACAGCTTCCCAAGTTTGATGAAAGACATTCATCTACAAATTCAGGAAGCTCAGCTAATCCCAGTCAGAATAAACCCCCAAAAATCCAGGATATATACTTTATAATCAGACTGCTGAAAACTAAAGACAAAGAAAAAATACTGAAAGCAGACAGAGTAAAAATGACATTACTTATACAAGAACTATTATTTGAATAGCTATGATTTCTCATTAGAAACTGTGGCGGCCCAAAGCAAATGAAACAACATTTTTAATGTGCTAAATGAATGTCAGTACAGAATTCTATATCCAGAGAAAATATCTTTGAAAAATAAAGGGGAAATAAAGATATTCTCAAGTGAAAGAAATAGATAACCAATTTCTATAACTATTAAACACATTGAATTCATAGTTAAAAACCCACTAGAAGGGCCGGCCAAGTGGCTCAGTTGGTTAAGAGCTCACTCAAGAGTGTGAGCTCTGAGCAACAGGGTCGCCAGTTCAATTCCTGGCCCGAGCTGAGCTGCTGCTGAGCTGCCAACAGGTGGCAGGATGGCTCAGCTAAAAACAAACAAACAAAAACAAAACACTAGAAAAGGAACCCCCTGTCCTAGATGTTTCAGTTTGTATACTGTATTATTTCATTTTTATGACATTTTCAAAAACAAAAAACTACAGTGATGGAGAAAAAATGAGTAGGTGGTTAGTTAGGAATTAGGGCAGGGTGAAGAGTATGACTACAAAGGGATAGCATGAGGGAATTTGGGGGAATGATGGAACTGTTCTTTATTCTGTTTGTGGTAGTGGTTATGTGAATCTATGTGTTAAAATGAACTGCACACAAAAATGTTAATTTTACTATATGTTTACTTATAATTTTTTTGTAGAACCGGGACTCCTTGAGCAAATCACTGATTGACACGCTGGGACAGGAGGTACAAGATGAGCCTGGAACATCTTTTATGCTATAAAGTAAGGAATTACTAAAGCTAAGAATGGGCACATGTCTTGAGGGCAAAGGAGTCAACTTGAAGGAGCTCCTACTGACTATATGTGGAAATTTTAGCATCAAAATAAAGACTGTAATAAATTTTCTATTCTAAAAATAGAAAAATATGAATCCCAACTCATAACAAATAGATGAATGAATGAATGAGAGGTGAGGGCTGTTGCTTTTAATAGAATGTGTAATGCTTACCACTAAATGTGGAGGGAATGCTGAGGTTGTGAAATCATCATTTTGCAACCATCATAACAAAGATTGGTTTATGTAAGAAAACAACACATATTAAACCAAGGAGCAAATTTTTATGAGATGCAGGATATTTGCATGATCTTAGAGTGTGTTCCAATAGATGCTTTATTGGTTGCCAGGGAAAAACTGTAACTCTACAGTGGAGAAATGAGACAACTTGACCAGGTGATCACAATTAACATCACCTATAAGAGGCAGATGGATATTGTGTGCCTCTAGATATTAAACCCTGTAGAGAACAGACAGCATTTATGTATACACTGACCAGAAATGTATAACATGAATCTAATTATGAGGAAACATCAGACAAACCCAAAATGTTGCCATATTTTGTCATGTTCTTTTAAAATGTTAATATCATAAAAGACAAAGAAAAGCTGTGGAAATGTTCAAGATTAAAGAAGACTAAAAGGCTTCTTTAATAAAAACCAAAGGCAATGCCTGATCCTAGACTGGATCCTGTGCTAGAGGGGGAAAAAATTCCATAACGGACATTATTGGGTCAATTAACAAAACTGGAGTATGGACAGTAGACTAAAGTATTCTATCGATGCTAAATTTGCTGAAGTTGGTCAATATTGTGTGGTTAGGTAATAGGATAGCCTTATTCATAGGAAATACACACTGAAGTATTGGGAGGTAAAGGCCCATAACGTTTGCAACTTATTTTCAAATTGTTCAGATAAAAACCATTTGTGTGTGTGCAAACATGTGTATATATAGAGAGAGACAGGCCATGAAAATGATAAAGCAAATGGGTAAAAATGTTAACAGGTAAACATAGGTAAAGGGAATATAGGCAATTTTTGTACTATTATTTTTTTTTTTCAGTTTTTCTATAAATTTGAAATTATTCCTCCTCCCAAATTTTTTAAATTATGCTCTTCAAAAGACACTGATAAAAAATGAATAGGTAAACATTAGCTTAGAAAATATTCACACTATACATATATGACAAAGTACTTGTATACAAGAAACTCCTACTCAATTATCAAAAGACAAACAAGCCCAGTTTTTTTTTTTTAGATTTTATTGGGGAATTGGGAAAGGGAAACAGCCAAGTTTTTGTCCTTCAATCTTAGTCGTGGAGAGCGCAGCTAGCTCAACTCCAAGTCCAGTTGCCATCCAGCCGCCCATTGGCAGCTGGCGGCTACTCAGCTCAAGGCTCTTAGTTGCGGTTGGGCATACCCTACCACCCCCTGCGGGAGTCAAACTGGAAACCTAAACAAGCCCAGTTTTAAAAGGGGCCAAAACTTGGACAGTCACTTCATAAAGGAGGATATACAGATAGACAATAAACATATGAAAAAATCCTTAACATCATTATGCATTAAGGGAATACAGATTAAGCCACAATAAGATACCATTTTACACCCACGATAATACCAACAAAAAGAAGGACGGGCTGGAGGAATGAAGGAAGGGAGAAAGGGAGGAAGCAAGGAAGGAAAGAAACCTGTCATCGCCAAATGTTGGTGAGGATGTGGAGCAAACAGAACTTTCATACATTGCTGATGGGAGTGTAAAAATGATTTGACCACTTTGGTAATCAGTCTGGTAGTTTCTCATTAAATGAAACACACACCTACCCTATCTCCCAGCAGTTCTACTTCTAGGTATTTACCCAACAGAAATGAAGACATATGTACCCAGAAAGACTTGTACAAGGGTACTTAGCAGCTTTATTTATAATGGACAACTCAAATGTTCATCAGTAGATGATGACTGGAGAAACAAATTGTGGTATATCCATTAAATAGAATACTACTCAGAAATGAAAAAAAAAAGTTCCTGATACACACTGTGGAGGAACCTCAAAAACATTATACTGAATGAAAGAAGCCAGACACAAAAGAGTATATATTATATTATTCCAATTTTATAAAGTTCTAGAATATGCAAAGCTAATCTGTGGTGAAAGAAATCTAACAATTGTTATGCGGGAGTGTGAGGAATGATTCGGGAGGGGCTTGAGGACACATTCTAGGCTGATAGAAATGTTCTATATTTGATAAAATATGGGTTATGCTGGCATATGCAATTTTCAAAACTCATCACATTATACACATACAATCTGTATATTTCATTGTAGGTAAATCATATCTCCATTTTTTTCAAAAAGGAAAACAGATTATGTTACTACCCTCTTCAAAACTCTTTGCTTCCTGTTGCTAAGATCTAAACTTTGCAGAGGTTTACAAGGCCCTAATGATCTAATCTCTGCCTGCCTTTGCCCCCTATCTTGCATTCTCTCCCACTTGTTCACTATGCTACAATTAGGCTGGTCTTCCTTCTGCTCTTCAAACATGCTGAGCTCTAGCCTCTTCAAGATCTTGGTACTTGCCACTTCCTCTCTTTAGAACACTCAGCTCTTTAGAACTCCCCAGCTCTTTGCATAATTGGCTTAGTCTCATTCTTCAGGTCTTATCTCTAACATTGCCTCCTCAGAGAACTCTTTCCTGACCACCCTGTCTAAAGTCAGAGCCTTCCAGTTACTCCTTCATGTTATCCTCCTTATTTTCTTTTTAGCACTGTCATTATTTGCTATGATTTTTAAAATTTTGTTTTTCATTCTATAGTCTTCATCTCCTTTTTCTTTCATTGTTTTCATTGTTTAATTATTACCATTGCCACCTTAGAGCTGACATATAGCAGATACTTAATAAATATTTGTTGAATGAATGAATAAATTATCCTCTGAGGGTAGAAGAAGGGTGAAGGTAATTCTCTAGTAAATACAGAAAACATAACTGAGGGACATATATCTTCTATCTAGTTTACCTAAACAAGTATCCCAGAATTTCTTAGAATAATCTGCTACATACACAGGGGAAAATTGTTAAGGAAAAAAAACCATATTTTAAAAGTGCTAATGTTTAATTAATTTCATAATAGAAATTAAATTCAGAAAAAATGGAAATTTGGAATATTAAATTATAATAAATTAGAAGACGTTAACAATGTGTTCAAACTTGAAACAGTGAATATCTTGGGAAATAACAAATGTCATCTTGCTCCAGATACAATCATTGTGGGACCAAGAAGTCACCTAGAATAACCAATATTGCAGAAGTCAGGAGTTATGAATTAGCAGGAATATCTTATATTTGTATCAATCACTTGATCCTCCTAGTCATATGATAAACAAGCCAGAGGTCACAGATAGGATGTCTCTGAATCCCACCAAAAAACTGGATTGTCAATACTGATGGAAATGTGAAATAGTCTGATATGTGAGAAAGCACTGGATAAGAAATCAAAAGACCCCAAATATAGTTCACAGTTCTGCTACTAACTAAATTGCTCTGGGCTAAAGTTTTTTTTAATATGTAAAATGAAAAATATATTAAATTATTTTCAAGAGTTCTTCCAATAATAAAAGTTTGTGAGGTGGAAAGGTAAATAAAATTGAAGACGCATTGCCTGTTAAAGGTTTCCCGTGTCCAACATGGTCATATGTGCTCAAGGATAGAAGATAGAAGTATTTATAAATTTTTTTTAAACTTGATTGGGGAACAGTGTGTTTTTCCCAGGACCCATCAGCTCCAAGTCAAGTTGTTGTCCCTCAATCTTAGTTGTGGAGAGCACAGATCAGCTCCAAGTCCAGTTGCTGTTTTTCAATCTAGTTGCAGGGGGTGGAGGGCAGCCCACCATCCCATGAGTTGAACCGGCAACCTTGTTGTTAAGAGCACACGCTCTAAACAACTGAGCCATCTGGCCACTCATCTGCAGCTCAGCAGCAGCTCAGCTCAAGTTGTTGTCTTTAATCTAGTTGCGGAGGGTGCAGCTCACTGGCCCACGTGGGAATCGAACCGACAACCCTGTTGCTCAGAGCTCGTGCTGAGCCACCCAGTCGCCCCAGAAAGCATTTAATATGCTTATCTCATTTGTCCTTAGGAAGAGAGCAAAGCTTCACTGGAATATCTTTCATGGGAGAAATACCTCTGATGTCTGGAAAGCTCCTTGGCTGGTGAAGAAAATGAAAACATGAACTCCAGAATACTTTCAGGACAGCTTTCAGATCCAATAGGATGACTATATAGGTCAGTAAAAAGCACGAAAACTCACAGAGGGAAGAAAATTCTTTTGTGTGCATAATGCTCTGTACTAATTACTTTATATAGCTATCTCATTTACTCTTTATGCATGATGTAGGTTTACTGTCCCCATTTTTTTAAATTTAAATTTTTGGATAGAGGAAAAATTGATGATTACAGAGTTTAGGTGTTCGGAAGCCCATATTCTTTCCATATTCCATCCCATCTCTGTCTAGAGAGTCAAATTCTTCCATAGAATTTTCCTTGGCCATCTGGCCTACAATGATTTCTTCTTCGCTTCTCTAGTATGTATTACCTATACTACCAATTTCACACCTATAACTTTTGCAATGTTATATTTGATTCATTTATTAATCAGTAAACATTTATTGAATGTTCACCAGGGAACCCCAGTAGGCACTGAGGATACACAGATGAATAAGACACAGTTCCTGCCCTCAGGAGTTAAAATCTAGTGGAGGAGACAGCCCCATTAGCAGTTTATTTTTTTTAATTAAAATTTATTGGGGTGACAATTGTTAGTAAATTTACATAGGTTTTAGTTGTACAATTCTGTAATACATCATCTATATATCATTGTGTGTTCAGCATCCAGAGGCAGTTCTCTTTCCATCACCATGTATTTGATCCCTTTTATCTTTTAGCAGTTTATTAACATCCCAATACATTCTAAGATTAAATCACTCTCTCTTCCTCTCCCTCCCCCAGTTTGGAACACTCCAATTTCAGCTCTCCGGCAAATAAATAAATAAATAAATAAAATAAAAATCAAACCAATGAACCTGAAAGTAGCAAAACTAAGCCTAAGGGAAAGGAGAATTTTAATTAATGAATCACAGTAGCAAATACTCTATAAGCATCAAGGACAAAACACAGAGACGGTAACAAATGACTGAGAAACTTAAATTCTCCCAAGTAATAACAGCCTTCCCAGGCAGAGGGGATTTGAGCCAAGCTTCCAGCCCTGTGGCAGTACAAACGGTGGTGACACACTGCTATCTTAACCTATCCCACAGGGGGAAAAAGTCTTATTTATCACTTGCTGGTAACTAGGCGTGACTTCAGGAACAAGACTATTCCAGCTACCGTTCTAGCCAGTTATGCTACTAACAACATATTCCTAAAATAGTCTTCTTGAGCGCAGTGATAACTTTCTGGCAGATGGTGAAAGTCCACAAATAAAAGTTACGTGAGCAAAGTCTGGTATATAGAAAAGATTCTTTCCAGCTTTGGTTTCTTCCTGGTTCTTTTTGTCAGTCTGAATCTTGCTTTCTAGCATTGTTAAGTTCCATTTTTTTCCTTCAGCTTCATGCTCTAGGTTACTGAGTCAATTAAACCCAGTTTAATGTACAAAGCAATATGGTAGGTGCTTAAGGGAAATAAACTTGAATAAGAGAGTATTCCTAGGGCCGGCCGAGTGGCTCAGTTGGTTAAAAGCTCACTCAAGAGTTTGAGCTCTGAACAACAGCAGTTCGATGCCTGGCCCGAGCTAAGCAGCCGCTGAGCTGCCAACAGGTGGCAGGATGGCTCAGCTTAAAAAAAAAGAGTATTCCTGTTTCAAAGGGTTGAGAAAGTAATTATATAGTATATGGACCTGGTAATGTCATGTTCTTGTGACAAGTACTTCTGCTTTTCAGAGCCAAATATAAAAGTCATGTAAATGGCCTGGCATATTCCACCTCATACTGTAAGATTAAAATCACTGCTCTGTCCAAGGTTCTGTGCTGGGCTATGTTAATGAGGAGACATGGTCATGCCTTGTCCAGAAATGAACATTGCAAGCATTCTCTGAAGTGGAGGTGAATTCAGAGGATTTCTTGGTCTTAACCATTATAACCTAGGAACTGAGAAAGGTAGAGACCAATCCCTGTGATTTCCTAGGGTATTTACCACACATCCTTCCTAGAGGTGCCCCAAGGAATATTCCAGCCTAAGCCTCATCCTGCCTACTAAGCTAGAGGTGAGGCAGGTAAATAGGTTCCCTCTAAAATGTAGAGGGTAGGGTTAAAGGAATTGAAATTCACTGAGCATCTATCATGTAGTACACATATCATACCTCATTTAAAGCTCTTGTTAACACTGTGAAATACCATTGCCTCTATTTTAAATCTGAGGAAACTGAGGCCCAAAGAGGTTAAGTAACTTGTCCAAGGTCCCATAGCTAGTACGTGGTATTGATTCAACTTAGAGAATGGCATTGAATGGAATTCTAGTTCAGGAATCTGTTGGATCCTGGCTCCACCAAGGATCTGTCATGGCTATGTGATATTATCAAACTGTTCCAAAGCCATGGGCAGGAGGTCCCCACACAGTAGGCTCTACCCCAGGGAGATCCAGACAGCACCTGAAATTCAATTGCACCAAATTTCTTTGGTCTCCAAAACTCAGTTTTTTGCACCTTAATTTCAGACTGCTTCCAGATTAGAAATGTGATAGCTCAATTGCCATAAAGCAAAAGAACTCACACCAAGGAAACTCCTGCTGAGTTGGCAACACCCTGGAAGGTGGAGATCCTTGAGGCAGAGGAAGCCAGGGAGCAGGAGAATATAGAGGCCCTTTGGCCCTGAAAGCACTGAAGACCTGGGTGGCCAGGCAAAGTGGTCAGAGGGGTGGCCCCACAGTTAGAGTTCATTACTAGCCCAGGGTTGCATAAAACGCAGTGGGAATTCAGGGGATGGCTTTGGTCAGGCTGCCGACGTCACTGAACCAAAGCCTGGACCCTGAGTTCACCGACCCTTCTCACTTAGTACTATTTCCACAGGAAAGTCTAAAGGGGAATTGCTTCAGGAATCTGAAAATTTAACTCTGCTTTACTGATACAAGGATATCATTACCAAAACTGGAAAGAAAATGGGCTGATGATAACATGATTTACTAATGAGGCCAACTCTCATTTTTCTGTAGGGAGTTATGTAGAAATTCTCTAAAACAATAGACAGCACCCCAATCATTTATATAATATTTAACTTTGGGATTTGGGGTGACACTTGGCAGCAGTAAGGTTCCTGATTATGTTTAAGTTGGGTTGAAAATCAAAATTAGTAGTCTTTGGGAATGTACTGATTCATGAAGAAGCACAAAGGGGAATCAACTGGTCGTTTAGAAGTTGCCATCAATGATCAACAAATGGGGTTGGGAGGCATAAATGGATAATCCTAGCCACCATCACAAGCTGGTTCTTTATTAGAATTTGGGTACAGAGCCTCAGCACCACTAAGCTGGGGAGAAAGATTAATTGGCTAGTGGACTTTTGAAATCTTTTCCCTAGCTGGTTTATACTCTTTCAGAGAGGTGATTTGTTTGTTCGTTTGTTTGTTTGTTTAAGCCTCTAAAGTCCCTTCTCAGAGAAAAAGTCAGTTTCCTGCTCTGGATTAGGGTAAAGTGTGTAAGGTTTGTCAGTTTCATTTCTGTCCACAGGCCTGGTAACTTTAAGACAGACTTCCTCAGGGCTGAGTTTCTACTGATGGTGTTTTCATCTTTCTCTTAGGAGGGCCCCAAAATTCCCATACTGACTTTGAGAGACTCAGATATTTTATTTTATAAATAGTAGTTACAGATTGTGTATCCATCACTCATATTATCTGTGCAAAATCAAGAAAATATACTCGAATGGATACAAACTTAGAGTACCGATGACAGGACCCAGGCTGAGTCAGTTGTGTGCAGGCTGGCGTACAGACCCTGACCCAGGACGAGGTACGGGGCATCCAGATGGATGTAGGCTGATGCATGGACCCTGGCCCCAAACATAACAAACCTTGATTCCTGAGCCTGCTGCATAGGTGCCGGGCTCCGGTGACATAAGCCCTTTACGTAAGCATGATTCACAGCTGCGGGAGGGAGCATGCACATCCGTGCGCTCTCCTCCCCCAAAGCCTCTATATAATGGTTACTATTGCTGAATAAAGCAGGCGAGCTAGCTGGTTCCTCCTTATGTTGGCTCCACATGCTTTCTTTTCCCTGGGCATCTCACTGCCAAAAGCCCCCCAGCAGCTCCCTGGGGGCGACAACCAGTCTTTAAGGTCTGGCAGGTAAGGAGTGTTCCTTGATGGTTGGTTTTTAGTGTAAGACACACTTGAAACCCATCGCTTACTGTAGATGGCCTTTATGAAGGGAAGCTACTTTGGAATTGTTTCACCACTTGAAAATGGGACAGGACCATTGCAAAAGTAAAGTTACTTATCAAAGGCCAAATCTCCAAATCCAAAGGAGGAGAAAGAACTATCCATTGCAAGGTTCAGTCCTTAGAACCAACTCTACTCTGCTGGTGTATGGAGTTGCCACATCTTGTTTAGACTTTAGAATGAACCTGTTATTTGTTGGAGGTGGGAGATGAGGGAGTACATTTCAGAAAAGCTGTCTTCCTCTTGGGCTCCCAGGGCCCAATTTGGATGACTTGTTCCAATACCATTTTATTCAGTCAGTCAACTCCAGATATTTCTTGAGCATCTATTATGTATGCCACCCTATCCTAGGTTCTAAAGGGATGCAAGAAGAGAAATGTTACACATGGTTGTAAAATGGTTTATACAAATTTGGAAAGGAAGTGAAGTTGGTTTGAAGATTCTCCAGATAATTTCTTTGATTTACATGTAGTATTCAATAACACCAGTTTTAGCCCCGCAGCCCAGGTCTGATTTACTCTCATGCACCAGACCTTATATTTCCAAAAGTTTAGGACATGTACCAGTGATAGTACATGAGATGACTTTAAGTTATACAGGATGTGACTTTAAGTGGTAAATGGGCAAGCATAAAATAACAAAGAATTACATCAGGAGAAATTAATGCCCTTTGCAGTTCTCTTTCAAGCCTGGATTACTTGTTGAAGAAAGTCTAATTTGGGTCTAGTATGTCACTAACGTTCTCCACCCTTTTCTTAATCTTTTTAACCAAGAAAATAGACCTCAGGCCTGGAGTTTTCTTCTGGCAACAAGTATCTATTGGCAACTGTTCTATTCATTTTCTTTTCTAAAATTATATTA